GTGGCTGTATCTGGCTGGCTGACGTGTCCATCGGACTGAGCATTTTTCTGCCCATCTGTCTGAGTGTCCATTGTCCATCCATCTCCCAGCTTGTCTGCTCCCGTGTCCATTTGCCGGTCAATCTGTCTCTCCGTGCGTTTAGGCCTGTCCCCTGGGTAGACTCTGAATGTCACCATCATCCTACAATTAGGGACTTTAGGCCTCAGGTTCCTGTCTTCACCCCAGCTCTGCTTCCGTATTACCCTTACCTACACTCACAGCCCCTTGCATAGTGTCGGCCCCACTGACAGAGCAATAGCAGGGAGCACTGAAGGGCCATGATTCAGAGGGAACGACACCCGAGAAAGGGACCGAGACAAGTCAGGACTGCAGACGCACCCCAGGGAGCAGGGCCCCCTGTGCCTCGGGTCCTCAGCACCACCCAGGGCCACCTCTGCCTCCCCTTCCCTCACAGGTTACTATTTTGAGATCCCTTCCATCGGCGCCATCCGCATCAACACACAGGTGAGACTGTGGGGGGCCCCCTCCTCCTCCTCCCAGCCCCCTGCTTCTGCAGAGACAGCACCAGTGATGGTCTGCTCTGGTGTGTGTGCGCCCCCTGGTGGTGAGCTGACACATGGGGAGGCAGAACAGGGAGGACAGAGTGGGAGGGGTAGACTCATGACCCCTGCCCACCATCCCGTCCCCAGGAATATCTGGACGTACTGGGCAGGCCCATGGTGCTGGCGGGCAAGGAGGCCAAGCAGGTGCAATGGACCAACGTGTATGAAGATGCGCTGGTAAGTTCTCTGGGCGAGGAAAGGGTGGGGCTGGCGACCTTCTTCCACGGATGTGCCCACAAGGTCAAGTCCCTTGAGGGTCCTCTTCCCGGGGTGAACCAAACAGAGGAGCAAGAGAAGTGGCCTGCACCTCAGCCTCCACTCTGAACACTTGGGGCGGGGGCATGGCTGGCCACAGGAGGCCGACCCATCATCTTCCTCTCCCTTTAGGGTCTGGGATTGGTGGTGACAGGGACCCTACCCGTATTCAACCTGACGCAGGATGGCCCTGGGGAAAAGAAGGTGAGGTCCCTCGCTGAGTAAGGACGAGGTCTGCCTGGGAGGGTTGGGCATGCCCATAACACATCTGGGACGGAGGCAGGATAGGGAGGCCTATAAGCTGGACAGGGGCAGCTGCTTGCGAGAACAGCTTGAGGCCTTGGGCATGGGGGGTGGGCAGAGGCCCTTCTATGGCACTGAGTCCATTGCAGACCTCCTGCCTCTGCTCCCAGAACCAGCTGATCCTGGGCGTGATGGGCATCGATGTGGCTCTGAATGACATCAAGAAGCTGACTCCCAACTACACGGTGAGCATCAAGCTACACATCCACCCCACTCTGCCTCCCATGAGGACACAGCCAGACACAGCAGAGGAGACTTATGGCGATTACAGCACCTCCATGGAGACCTCTGAGTTCAGGCAGTCAGGGAAGGCTTCCGGAGGAGGCGCCCCTGGCCCTAGAGCTAAGGTCATCAGACCGTCTGTAAAGGGCCAGACTAGGACTATATGAGGCTCTGCCAGCCTAAATACTCATACTCAGTTCTGCTGTTGTCCTGGGAAAACAGCCACAGATGAAACACAAACACATGGGTGTGGTCATGCTCTAGCACAAGTTTGTTTGTGGATCCTGAAATTTGAATTTCAGATAATTTTCATGTCATAAAATATAATTCTTTCTGTCTTCTTCAAGCATTTAAAAATGTAAAAACTATTCTTAGTTCAGCCATACAGTAAGAGGCGGCAGGCCAGGTGTGGCCCATGGGCAGTAGTTTGCCAATCCCCAGGCTGTCACATAGGCAGGAGTGTCCTGGGGACAAAGGAGGAGAAGGTCTACCTTGGAGGCGGAGGGAACTCTCTGGGCAAAGTCTCGAAGGTGAAAAACAGAGTCATAAGCTGGAGAAGGAGCAGCATCAGTGTGGCGGGCCCAGGGCCTGTGGCGAAGGGAGTTTGGGTCTTGGTTGTGAAAGGCATGGGGGATGAGCTGTGTCGGACCACATCCTGAAACCTGGCCACATGAAGGCCCCAAGGCATTGGGCTCCATATGCAGTGATAAAATGGCCCAGAGGTAAAAGCAAGTCCAGGGTCTCACTTACTCCTGGAAGGGATGCCTGGAAGGGATGCCCAGGCCTGTGGGATTCCAATTCTACTGAGACGGGGACCAAGAGGAGACGTAGTGAGGAGGGGAGCGGGAAGCAGCAACAGCCTGTGGGGCCAGTAGAGGCGGAGCAGCCTGGCTGACTGACAGCTCCATGAGAAGCAGGGGTGGGCTGAGAACTACAGAAGGCCAAACGAATCTGGCCGCATGGAGCTGGGCAGCTTCGGCCAGGCCTGGTGCATGAGGGGCGCCAGCCTGCTGGGCATGGCTTGAGAAGCAGGCTTGGGGCCGAGTGGCATGTGGGTGCCTGGCCCAGGCAGGCAGACGGCACCCCTCAGCAGCATGGAAGGCAGGACAAGGAAGAGCTCCGGAGCCCGGGGAACCCCTGCCCAGCCCTCCACGCCCTGAGCCCCCAATCTACACCCCCAGCTTGGAGCCAACGGCTACGTGTTTGCCATTGACCTGAACGGCTATGTGTTGCTGCACCCCAACCTCAAGCCCCAGGTGAGCCAGGTGGGTGGCCTGGAGGGGAGGAAACAGTTCTAGATGGGAACTCCTGACTTCCTGCCCTGCCTCTCACAGACCACCAACTTCCGGGAGCCTGTGACTCTGGACTTCCTGGATGCAGAGCTGGAGGATGAGAACAAGGAGGAGGTGAGGAGGGGAACGGGGAGGGGGAGCACCCAGAACAGAGGAGGGTGGGCCTGCCTCACATCTCTGGCCCTTCCAGATCCGTCGGAGCATGATCGACGGCTACAAGGGCCACAAGCAGATCAGAACATTGGTCAAGTCCCTGGACGAGGTGAGACGGTGGCTGGCGGAGGAGGGAGAGAGAGCCGAGGCGGGCATCCTCCTCCCACCGCCCCGCCCCTACCCGCTAGCCCAAGCACCTGACCCAGCCCCTTCTCCCAGAGGTACATAGACGAGGTGCTGAGGAACTACACCTGGGTGCCTATAAGGAGCACCAACTACAGGTGAGTGGTGCCAAGGCTGGGCGGGCAGGGAGGGGCAGCCCCCACATCCGGAATCCGAGCCCAGCTGTCCCCTCCTCTACCCCAGTGTGCCAAATCCCAGTGGGGCACCAGCAGCCAGGCCTGCTCACTTCTCACCCCATGACACTCAGTCCCCAAGGGCCTCTCACTGGCCTTTCAGGAACCATCTCCTGGGAGCACAGGACAGAGACGACACAGTGCATCTGTCTTGTCTCCCTGTGGCCCGCCACCCTCTCATGTCCCTCCCACCTGGATTGTATCCCTGGGTATCTGTCCCAGGATGTCATCCTCAGCACATTCACAGCCTGGGGGCAGCCCCCTGGGGGGCAGGCCCCGGCAGTGCAAGCTGTCCTTTGCACACCCCAGTACCAGCTGGTGCTGCCCTCACTATGGTGGCACCAACCCTGCTTTCAGCCGGCTTTCACATGGCCCGGGTCTCTGGGGACTGTGGATCCCCCTCCCACAGCAGCCTAGCTCCTTGACAGTGTTCTGCCCCTCGTGACTTTGCTGCTGGCCAGATGGAGGAGGCTGGCTGGGCAGGTGGTGTGTTGGGGGAGGTGGCTGGGGGTAAGGGGCGGGGTGGGGATTTGCTTCGGGGCTGGTAGTTCTGAGAGAATTTGGTGAATGGAGGGTCCAGGACCCTAGGCCATGACTCTCCCATCTGACGGCCAGGGGAGGGGGCACCAGTATGGCCCACCTCTCCCCAGCGGTGACTTGCGCCCCTCCCCTCCCCTCCTCCCAGCTTGGGGCTCGTGCTCCCTCCCTACAGCACCTTCTACCTCCAAGCCAACCTCAGCGACCAGATCCTGCAGGTCAAGTGTAAGTGGCCAGCCCCTGCCTGCGCCCTGCACCCCTGCCTCTGCCCTGCACCCTGGCCGGCCCCAGGCAACGTAGCCAGCCGCTTGCGGCCAGGCAGCCCCTCCTGCCCAGTCTGCCCACCCCCCAGGCACCCCCAGGCTGGGGCATCAGCCCAGAAAGTCTGTGGAAATCTGCATGCTCGCCTTCTCTCAGATTTGGTTCCAGACCGTTCTCTCATGGTTTCTGTTGAGGTTGTTTTTGGTTTCTCCCGCTCCGTGTCTCCCCTCCTTAGCCTGCCTCCCGCACACCCTGGGGGCTGCGTTCCCTGAAGACACCCCTCCTCTCCTCCCTCCTTCCCCGTCTCCCCGTGGCTCTCTCCCCCTGCGGTACCACCCACAGGGGCTCCCTCTGCCCCCTCTGCCATTCCCAGGACTCACTCTCCTCACCCTCCGCCTCACCTCAGCCCTCACCTCTGGCTCCCTCCCCTCCCTGCCAGCCCCGGCTCCCTCCCTGACTCTCTCTGCCCTTTCTTCTTCCTCCCTCCCTCTTCCTTCCTCCTCCTCTCCCTGCCTCGCTCCCTCTTTTCTTCCTTCCCTCCCTCCTCTTTCCTCTCCCTGCACCCCCACCTTCTCGGTCTCCCTCCCTCTCTTCCCCTCCTTTCTGCTCACCCCCTCCATGTCTCTTCCCCACATGCCCTCCCTCCCTCTCCCCTACCCAGAACCCCTCCTCCCCTCCTCCCCTCCTCTCCCTCTCTCTCCCTCCCTCTCCCGGCCTCCCCCAGCTCCGCGCCCTTCCTCCAGTCCGTCCCTCTCTCACGTTCCCTCCTTCCTTTCCTCCCTCTCCCACTCTTCTGCCTGTGGCTCATCCTGCATGTCCTGCTCACCCTGGGCCTCCCCCAAGAGTCCCCGGAGCCTGTGGCCCCGCCTGCCCACCGCCCGAGGTCACTGGGAGGGAGGCTGGGGCTCCGGCCCCACCGGGCGTCCCCACCTGCCTGGCCGACTGGGGCTCATCTCCTTTGAGTTTTCTCGCTCTCTCTTTCTCTCTCATGTCGTTTTTTTTGCAAGAAGTTTCCTTTCGGTATGATGATGAGACACAATATTTTCATTCAAACAGCCATTGAATAAAATATTGTTTGTGCCCCTCCCCTTCCCCCTCCCCCTTTTCGTTTGTTTTTGTGTTTGTGTTGTTTTTTGTTTTCCTCGCTTTCTCTCTTGGTGGACTGTCCCAGTGCCAATCAGCAAACTGAAGGGCAAGTATATTCAGAACCAGTGCACCCTCCTCTCCCCACCCCACCTGCCCTCACACCCCTGCTTGCCCCCCTCCCTGCCCAGGACCAGCCACACCCTGCTCTCCAGGGCCCCCCTCCCAGCATCCCCTTTGGCTCCTCTAGTTCTTGCCTTTCCTCTGATCCCTGAACCCCTCTTAGAGCCAGCAGCCCTTTCCCCCGGCCCCACCGGCAGGATAGTTCTCCAGCGGATTCTGAGAGCTCAGGCCCCGCCTTATCCTCCTCACTCCCTCTGGGCAGGCCCCTGTCCCCACTTCCTACCTTCTCTGTCTCTTCAAGACAACTCAACAGTGGGGACAGGGCTGAATGCCTCTGTACCACCTTCTACCCAACAGTAAGGGGCCTGAGATGCAGGGGGTAGATCAGTCCTCAAAGGGACTCATGTGAGGCTTATGGGAAAGGACCAAGCACACAAGGCTTCCTCTGGGGTAGTTCTCCCTCCTCTGATCTCTGTCGGTGGCTCCCCCTGGGTCTTCAAGACAACTCAACAGTGGGGACAGGGCTGAATGCCTCTGTACCACCTTCTACCCAACAGTAAGGGGCCTGAGATGCAGGGGGTAGATCAGTCCTCAAAGGGACTCATGTGAGGCTTATGGGAAAGGACCAAGCACACAAGGCTTCCTCTGGGGTAGTTCTCCCTCCTCTGATCTCTGTCGGTGGCTCCAGAAGCTGGCAGTGGTCCCAAGAAGAGATAGAAGACTTTGGAAGCCTCGTGCCCTGACCCTGAGGTAGAGAGGCAGGATAGGGCAGCAGTCAGGCCCCCGGGAGAACCCCACCATCCTGGGCGCTGGCCAAGGTACTGAACTCCTGTCCCCTACCTCTTCACAGCTCCCAGAGACCTTGCTAAGGCCGCTGGCCGACTCGCTGCTCCTGGGGAGGGTGGTCAAGCTGGGGAAGGTGTTCCCCTGGGAGATAGAGGCAGACTCAGGGACTGTGGGCCTGGCCAGGAATGCAGGGGGGACTATCTGGACCCCAAAGGCCAGCACAAAAGCTTGGAGGGAATCAGGCCGGATGTGAAGAAAAAGGTTCTTTCTGGCACTCACAGGTACCCAGGCCAGAGACTTCCCAGAAAGGCAGGCAGTGAACTCATAGATCCTGGCGAGAACGGGGGAGTGGGAGAGCAGCACATGAGGGTCTCTCCTGCTGGTGCACAGGGAGACACCCCTCCCAGGGAACACCTGGGCAGATGGGGCATGGAGAGGTGAGGGGATGTCCTATCCCTGGTCCCCATGGTCTGGAAGCAGGGGCTCCCCAGGAAGCCCTAGGGGCCCTATCCTGCCTAGTCCAGCAAAGAGGCCAGGGTGGGGTGGGGGACATGCCCTACCTCCACTGGCTTGAGTTGTCTTTTCTCCCCCTCCCATACCCCTCCCACTGACCTCAGAAATGCAGGGTCCTGGTAACAGTGACAACCATAGCGTAGTCTCCTTCCTGTTCCCCCACCTCCTTTTTCTTTCTCCTCCTCCCCTCCCACCCCTACCCCTTCCCTGTCGGCTTGTGTCCAAACCCTTGCCTCACAGTCCTATCAGAAAGCAACAGTCCAACCAGTGACTGCTCGGCCCCTCCAGGCACCCCAATCTCCTCTCCCCAGAACTTTGCAGTGCATTGTGGGTGTATTCGGGAATAAGGAAGACCCCTCTTCTACAAAAATAAAGCCCTGGGGTGACCGACAGGTTGGACTCTGGGTAAAAGGGTGGGAAAGTGGACTGCCCAGAGTGAGACAGGCTGAGAGCAGATGGACACCTCCCAGATGCAGACCAGCAAGGTGGCCAGTCCAGAGAGAGGCCAAAGAGGATCCCCAGTGGCTACATCCCGATTCACTCACAGACCTACACAGAGACACTCGCACACCTACACACGCACTCGCATATATGCAAATGCAAACACACATGTTCTCGTGCACATATGCACTCACACATGTTCATTCCCACACATATACGCTGGCCCAACTGGTGGATCCCTCAGCAGCACCTTCACCCTACACCTTCTCCAGAGCCCCCAGCATTCCTCCCTGGCTGCTCTGAGCCCAGACAGGTCCTAGGCAGTGAGAAGACTTAGCCCTTCTTACCCACCTGCCCTCATGCGCCCAGCCCAAGAGGGCAGGTGTGCAGGTTCAAGCAGCCCACCTTTCTCCTCCCAGCTCCTAGACTCTCCTCCTGACATGTGGGAACATTCACAGGCACCTCGAGGGTCTCCCCTCAGCCAGCTACCCCAGAAAGGATCTCCAGACCCCACAATGCACTTCGGCTCCCCCCCCCAGCTGCCCACACCGTCTCTGGTTGGACTGTCTGTGCCCGTGAGAAAACCCCTCGGTTTGGCCATGTTGATGCCTGACACAGAACAAAAGCGAGACCTACCAAAATGCAAACAGCTGCAGCAAAGAAAGAGAGATCAAAATCCGCAACCAAAAGCCAATCCCCTTCCTCAAAGTCTCTTTGGAGGAGAAGGGAGCTCCGCATGCGGTTTTTTCCATTATGGATCAGATAAGAGCAAGACTGGCGCCTCCCCCAGACCATGCATATATATAGCAGTGTGTGTATATATATATGTGTGTGTGTGTGTCCGTGTATATGTGCTATACAGCCGTATGGAAGCATATACAGCCACGCCAAGGGACTCACTGCCGACAGAGGACCAGGCCCGGGCAACATATTGGCTATAACTGCCCTCCTCCTGCAATGCTGTAGTCTCCACAGGCCCTCCACCCCTCCCCACCCACCCCTTCTCTTTGGCTCGAACTTGAACGTGGAATTGGCGGGTTCCCTATTTGCTGGTGTCTCCCCCACCCTCAAGTCACCCCCTTCCCTGTCCCTCCAACCCCTTCAGCTCTAAGCCTCTTGGCCTTCCGCCTCCCCAGCCCCCGCCGGATAACCCCCCGTTTCTGTTGCAGATTTTGAGTTCCTGCTCCCCAGCAGCTTTGAGTCTGAAGGACATGTTTTCATTGCTCCCAGGTAGCTTGCGTGTGGCCTTGCTGAGGTGTCCTCCCCCATCCTGACTGCCCTGGCCCGCCTCCTGCACTGCTGCCTGGAGCTCTGTGTGTCTGTGTCCTGTGCGGTGTCACCTCCTCCCCACGCATAGCCCCGTATGTGCAGCCATGCGCATACCTGGGCCATGTAGCCGAACCAGGCAGCAGTGGCCAGCTGCCCATAGCTCCGGCTCCCACTGGGCTTAGGGTGGCAGGGCTCTGGACCCTCTGCCGATGTTCCCCACCCTCCCAAGCAACTGAAAGGAGCCCTTTCTGCCCTGGGTCGGCTGTCCGCAGCACGCCCCCCAATGGGCAGCTGCTGCTCTGGTTTGTGGTGCCCTCCCCACCTCCACCCTGCACCCTGTCCGTGTCCTGTGTCAGTGTTTGTGTGGGTCTGGGGACCGAGCCAGCCAGATTCCCTGTCGGCAGTGCCGAGTCCAGGTGTGGTGGCTCACTGAGGACGGGGCGGGAGAGGGGACAGGGCCTTTGAGGAGCTGCTCTGACAAGCGAGGGGTCAGAGCCCAGGCCTGGTGCGTTCCTCAAGTGCACGCAGCATGAACACACACATTCTCAAGTGCATACCCTCTGCCTGAAGGCCCACGTTTGAGGCCGGCGGGCCCCCAGATGGTAAAGCCCTCCCTTGTGACCTGGGCTTTGGATGAGGGCAGGTGGGTGCAGCCAACAGAGACCCACGAGCACTCTCAGGGACCACACGGGGGCTCTGGACACGCCTAACCTCTGTGTGTGCACGTGTGTGCATGCACCCACAAATTTCTCTGTGACTCTCCGTAGATGTTTGTATTTGTGAGTCATCGTGGACATTTGTAAGAGTCTGAGTGTAAATGTGGAGTGGGCTGTGTGTCATCAGTGACTGTGGAAATGCGTGAAAAGTCCTGTGTAGCTTACAAGACCCCGAGGGAGCTCTCTGAGGACAGGGACTGTTTGTTTTTGTCACTTCTGTGTCTTCAGCTCTGGAGAGCTCAATAAATATGTGTTGGGTGAGTGAATAAAGTAACCCACAAATATAAATGTACACATGGGGGACTGCAGGTGACTTGTATCACAAACCCAACTGCGTGGGTGTCACTCTGGGTGTATCAGGCGTGGCCTCCATACACACAAGTACAGCACAAAGGCCCTGGGGGCCAGGGAGCAAGTGGGGCTGAGACACAGTCCCAGAGACCGTCACCAAGCTGTGGGCCCTAGCAGAGCCTGAGAAAGCAGCACATTTTAAAAAATCCTACAAAATTGCTGCCATATGGGCCATTGGGGAAGTCTCTGGCGGCAGGGGTGTAAGTGAGAAGTTGGGCAGGAGAGACAGCCCCATCGCCAAGACTTCCTGGGGAGCAGAGCCTGAGCAGGCCTCTGCACACCCCGCAGCCTCTGTGCCCTCTGAGCCCCACGAGGGTCCTGAGGAGGTGAGGGATTCGGCCTGTCCGCCTCTGGGGCAAGAGCATTCCAGGCAGAGGGAACAGCCAGTCTGAGGACCCAGGTGTTCCCAGTGACTTCCTGACGTACTCTGTGGAATGATTTAAAAAAAAAAAAATACAGGCTCAGGGAACTCGAGTGAGTTGCCCAAAGGCACATGCCAGGAAGCAGGATGAAGGCAGGATGAAGTCTTAAACTCTGTTGACTGAGCTGGTGCTCGGACTCCGCCCACCCTGTGCTCATGGACCCATACAGCAGACAGATGGGCAAGCCCGCCAGGTGGGCCTCCCAGGTGCTCCATCTGGGTCCAGATACACAAGAGAGGTGGGAGACTCTGCAGGGCCGTGCCCAGGATGGAAAACCTACCAGCCTGGAGGAAGCAGACCATTCTGTCATCTCTGCCCCTAGTCAGACCTGGGAGCCTGCCAGGCATGTAGCTGCTGCCACCCGTAAGCATATACCTGCCCCTCCCTGAGGCTTGGGCATCTCAGCAAACAGCCAAGCACACCTGTTGAGAAGCCTCGACACTCTGCCCTGTCCAGCCCCCCAAGCCCATTCTTCTTGCCCCCACCCCACCCCCCAGAGAGTATTGCAAGGACCTGAATGCTTCAGACAACAACACCGAGTTCCTGAAAAACTTCATCGAGCTTATGGAGAAAGTGACCCCAGACTCCAAGCAGTGTGAGTGCCTGGTGGGGCAGCCCTGAGGAATCCTGGGAACAGGCAGGGCCCGAGCCAAAGGCAGGGCCTGGGCCACGTCACTGGGGAGCCTTGTGGGGAGGTGGGGAGTGGACAGGGAGCCACGAGAAGACGCCCCTCCTCCCTTGCCCTCCTGTTCTAGGCAACAACTTCCTTCTGCACAACCTGATCTTGGACACAGGCATCACACAGCAGTTGGTGGAGCGCGTGTGGCGGGACCAGGATCTTAACACGTAGGCACCACCCAGGCCGGAGGCTGGGATGGGCGCAGGGGCCCCGGCCATGCCCTACAGAAGACAGGCCTGTGACCTCACCCCTTTTGCCCTCAGGTACAGCCTTCTGGCCGTGTTCGCTGCCACCGATGGTGGTATCACTCGCGTATTCCCTAACAAGTAAGTGACCTACTCCACTGCCCTACACCCTGCCCCTCCCTGCCTGGGACCACTGTCTCCCATAAGCCACCCCTTCCATCAACCTCTGCCTGTTTTGGGTGACCAGGGCAGCTGAGGACTGGACAGAGAACCCTGAGCCCTTCAACGCCAGCTTCTACCGCCGCAGCCTGGATAACCGCGGCTACATCTTCAAGCCCCCACACCAGGATGGTGAGTGGCCTTCCCGTGTGCTCAGCCAGGGCTGGGCTCTGCTCCCTGAGGCCCCTCTCAAACACCAAGCTGGCTGAGACTAGGGAACATGAGAGGAGAGGACTAGGCTGTGCCGAACACTACACTGGATGCTGGGTGCTGGGTGCTTAGGCTGGGGTCAGCCTTGGCTTGGGCTCTTGGATCCACAGGGCTCAGGATGGAGTGGTCAGTGTGGCTGCCAGCCCCCACTCCTGACTGCCCGCCCCACCTCACCCCCAGTCCTGTTAAGGCCTCTGGAGCTGGAGAATGACACAGTGGGCATCCTCGTCAGCACAGCTGTGGAGCTCAGCCTGGGCGGACGCACACTGAGACCAGCAGGTGAGTGCCCAGGGCAGAGGCGAGAAGGGACGGTGGGCAGGGCGCTGTCCAGGCAAGTGAGCACTGATGGCCCCTTGCTCTCCTCCACAGTGGTGGGTGTTAAGCTGGACCTAGAGGCCTGGGCTGAGAAGTTTAAGGTGCTAGCCAGCAACCGTACCCACCAGGACCAGCCTCAGAAGGTATTTGGGCAGGGGTGGGGGCAGTAAGCCCAGCAGTAGCCATTCTGGAGTCCCCAGGAACCCCCACCAGTCTTCCCACTCAGAGTGGCTCTGGTGCCTGTGGGGAAGGGGAAGGCCTGTTGCAGATGGCCTGGGGACCCAGATAGATGCAGGGTAATGGGAGGGAGGAAAAACTGGTGGGCACCTTATGGTCCTTGCTCTCTGCCCAGCAGTGCGGCCCCAGCAGCCACTGTGAGATGGACTGTGAGGTTAATAACGAGGTACGTGTACCCTGAACCCTAAATCCCCCCATTCCTGGGCTTCTTAGTCCCAGCTGCAACTCCTAGCCCATCCCTTGGCCTGTGGGTCTCAACATCCCACCCTGACTTCACAGCTTTACCAGAACTGGGGGAAGTGGTGCTCCCTCCACTTGACCGCTGGATTGCCAGGGTCTGGGGAGAGAGGTCCGGGCTTGAGCCCCTCTCCATCTTCCTCTCCCTTCCCCACCTCCCAGGACCTGCTCTGTGTCCTCATCGATGATGGGGGATTCCTGGTGCTGTCAAACCAGAACCATCAGTGGGACCAGGTGAGGATCAGGAAGGGAGTGGAAAGAGGGGGTCTGGGACTGACTGAGCCTTCTGGGGGCATGACGCTGCTAGCCCTGTGACTGCCTCATCGATGATGGGGGATTCCTGGTGCTGTCAAACCAGAACCATCAGTGGGACCAGGTGAGGATCAGGAAGAGAGTGGAAGGAGGGGGTCTGGGATTGACTGAGCCTTCTGGGGGCTGCTAGCCCTGTGACTATGGTCTCCTCCCGGCATCCCCAGGTGGGCAGGTTCTTCAGTGAGGTGGATGCCAACCTGATGCTGGCACTCTACAATAACTCCTTCTACACCCGCAAGGAGTCCTACGACTATCAGGCAGCCTGTGCCCCCCAGCCCCCGGGCAACCTGGGTGCCGCACCCCGGGGTGTCTTTGTGGTGAGCCCCAACAATGCCTGGCCTGGAGGTGGGGGGGCTGGGAGACCTGCCTACAGATGACCTCCCACCTCTCCAGGGAGAGGGGTCAGGGAGGGTGCTCCCTGGCAGGAAGGGCTCAAGAGAAATGGGGCAGGGTATTGGCCTCTTCTGACCACTCCCACTTGGTGACCCACGTCCTGCAGGTCCTTGTTCCAGCAGCTTCTGTATGGCCTCATCTACCACAGCTGGTTCCAGGCAGGTAGGTAGGGCTTTGGTGGCCCCTCCTCAACCCCTCCCCCCCAACTGCGCAGAGACCGATCCCAAAGGGAGGGGATGGCTTAAGCTGAGCACTGCTGACGCCTGAGATGGTGCCAGGGTGTAGGGTTGGGGCTAAAGCGCTCTGGGTCCTCGCAGACCCCGCGGAGGCAGAAGGCAACCCCGAGGCACGCGAGAGCAGCTGCGTCATGAAACAGACCCAGTACTACTTCGGGTCTGTGAACGCCTCCTACAACGCCATCATTGACTGCGGAAACTGCTCCAGGTGCCGGCAAGGGCGGGAACGTAGAGGGGGGACCGGAGGGACTGGACCGAAGAGGGGACAGAGGGCGTGGCCAGGGATAGGGCCTGCTGGGTGGTTGCCGGGTCGGGCTGAGGGCGGCGGGGG